AAAAATAATTATATTTAATAAATATAATAAAAAATAAATATATTTTAACCATTAAAAATAAAAAAAATTATCAAGATTTTGTATAAATAAATAATTATATTTAATACATATATATTTCATTTCTACAATAAGAATCAGATATAGCACGTGAAAAATATACTATAAGGAACATTAAACGCATTATAACCAACAGTGCGCCTGCAAATTGCAATAAATGAATTATGTTCAAGTTTAGAAAATATGCGTTTCAGATATAACTGCAATATATATACTCTAATTGATTAGGAGGGTTCGTTGCTAACGAAAATAATAATAATAAATTAAATAACAAGAATTGAACGTGTAGAAGAATATATACCTCGGAACTCATCACATGATTGATGTGTGACCTTCCGTAGAGCCAACGATTGTTCAGGAATTTTCCGAAATGGTTGCTCAATAATCTTCCGTGCACATGTTAATGATTGTTTAAGAATCTCTCGTGCACGTTCCAATGATCGTTTAATAAATTGTGTGGTCTTCGGCACACATTCTAGACAAATCCATGCACAGAGTAGGAGCGGCAGTATCCATGGGCAACTTGCGGCCATTATTATAAAAAGCGCATAGTTATAATAATAACAATAATAATAATAACTATTATCATCAAGAAAAACCATCTCCATTATGATTTGTTTGGAGTCTGCCTTCACTCTTGTACCTTGATTACAGTTACCATAAATAAATATAGCTATTAGTAGAAGAAATCAAAAATTAAGAAAGAAGGCAAAAACAGTCAAAAAATTAAAAATAAAACTTTATTTTTATCATTTTATGGTAGTACGAGATTTTTGAGAAATCTAAGATTGAATTTGTTTTTAGCTAAATAAATTAATAAATGTATATTAGAATTATTAATTGTTAGAATTTTAAAGAGAAAAGAGATAGCGATACTAACAGTTATATATCCACCGTTTCCAAAATATAAGCTGACTTCCCCTAAAAAATGGGGCTGGGGCTTGAGCAAGTGTTAAAATGAGTGGAATGAAATCCGAATCGAATCCCTGTGGCTCTGCCAAATTTGGATAACTTTGAAGAAGATCATATGCAATATCTGATGTCAAAGTTAATTTTGTTAGAGAATAGTCAAATAACTATTATCTTTCTTGATTTAAAATTTAAGTTATTTGATTTTTTTACATGTAATTTATGTAATATTTTTTTATAATATATAAATGATAATTGAAATTTTTATTTTATACGTAATTTTTTTGAATGATTTTATTTAATTAAAAAGATTTAATTATCATTCATATACTATGAAAATATGACACAAAAATATATATTAAAAAATTAAATAACTAATATTTTGAAATGGTGGGAGTATTAATTATAGAATTCACAAACTTACACCATCATAAATACTAGTAGCAAAAAGAAGTAGAATATTTGAGCTCTTACCGAACATTTTCTTAGTTATGCACTCTTCGAGGAGGTGGAAGCCAATCTTTCCTGTTAGAACAACATCTAGCGATTTCTCAGGACAGTGGGCGCGTGTCTTACGATAGACGATGTGTGCCGTGGGCTCATGGCCAGTGTTGAAAGCCAATTGAACTGGGATCCTCCCCTCGGAATCAACTTGTCTAAGAAGCAAAGCAGGTTTACATAACCCGTAGAGAGTCCACGTTTTCCCAGATCGAATGGCCTCGCAAAGATTTTCTATGTCCGTATCATCTGATGTTTCTAGAGAAACGACCCTCTTTCAACATAAACAATACTCTCAACTCTTAATTTATAAAGATTGATAATGTAACATTTTTTTGGGGCGAAAAACGACACTCTTTCAACATATAAACAAAAAAATATAAATGATATTCTCAATCTCTTCATTTATAAAGACCGATAATGTAACAGTTTTTTTTTTTTTTTTTGGGTGATATAGTTGAAAAATGATATAAGAATATTTCAATAAATTCTCAACCCCACATCCGATTTCAATCAACCTTCAAAACTAATTAAGCCTATGTCTGCATGGTTTATATTTTTGAGAAAACATCAACTATTAGTTATTAATTATTGTTAATATGCGAACTAACTAAGTTTTAAGTATTTAAAAAGGATGCTTCAATTGATTAGAAACTTAAAACTTTTAATAATTCTCAAAAAAAAAAAAAGCCTTAACACTTCAACTTAAAAGTTCTCAGCTTTGAACTTTTTTCTTTTCTTCTCAAAGTTAACCCAAATTAAAATCAGTAAAAGGAACCCGATTTTTTATCCTCGAAGCTAATCCAAAGAAAAAAAAAAAGACAAAACACAAGGAACCATCAGAACTGAACCAATACCTCAGCAAACTCAACAGTACAACAATATCTCCAATAACAAATGCAGAAAATAGGGGAAACTAAAACAGATTGATAGAATACGACCAAAAAAAAAGGAAACTCATAGAGTGATAGAATAAAATTACCTGCGGGGTGCTCCTCAATTTCAATTACGTGGTAGTCATTTTCTTTAATTTCAATTTCGCGAGAATCTTTGTGGTGCTGGACAGTTTCACTTTGGTCGGAGACGTCTTCCTTGCGCTGGGCAATATTCTCATCATGAGAAAAAGGCGGAAGTTTGTGCATTTTGGCCAGTGTATCCCAGGCTTCTTTGGCTGATTTAATCTCCTTTATCTTATCAAAAACTTCCGCTTCACATGAAATCTTAATCGCAAGTAGAGCTGAAGCATTTTTTTTAGTCCACTCCCGCTTCCCATTTACTGGAGGGGTATTTAATATAACATTCCAAAGATCTTGAGCCTCAAAATGATGTTGTATTAAAATTCTCCATCTTTCATAATTATCCTTTTTAAGAATTTCAGGAACAATTGCGCTTGGAGAAATAGCCATTTCTATGTTAGCCTTTGAAATATTGCACCGTACATAAAACGAACGTCAGCAGTGATTGTATTTGAATGAGATAATTGAAGAAAAACAAATTATTTGGTGGAAGATTTAAAATTTCAAAAACCAAGAGAACAATTTTGCCCCTATCCGCCAAACTTCCCCATAGGAATCCTCGCCCCACAGGTTGATGGGGATGGGAGGAAATTCTCATACATATAAAAAAAATGTAAAAATTACGATTGTATTGCCTTAAACACATCGGAATTTTCATTCATGGATGCACATATCTTTATCCTTAATTTTAATTACATAATAAATGAGACCTATATTACATTATATTTCATCTATTTTATAGTTATATTATACAAGATGCTAATCCACGAAAAATGATACGAGAAATTCAGAAGAACTCATCTATTCCACGTGGACGACCCGTAGTTTTAACATTATTAATGCCACAACATTTTGATTTTAATTTTCACAATATAAGAATGACTTTTTATATACAGCTAGAGACCAAACTAGTTAACCTTACTTACAATACCTGGATTGAATGACATTCGCGACGAGGCTGGATGTTTTCAGGAGCTACCTCAGCAGCGCTGCTGTAAAAGATGGACAAATTCGAGTAAGAAATAAGAATGAGGTTGTCTGATGATCGACCTGTAGTTTTGAGGGCACGACTTGTTTGGTTCGTGCTATATTTATAGAATGCAAATGCAGTGGTTTTGAAATTCTTATTCAATCTCAGATCTCTGAACAGCAACCAACAGGGACGTAGCCAGCATAGCAAAAGGGGGGCAGCCAACCCCCCTAAACTTTTAAAAAAAATATTAAGTATGGTACAAATATATATATTTTTTATAAAATTTATTTTTAAAGTTTGAATTATAGGGACCATTCAAATATAAAGGAAAATATTTATAACTCAAATAAAGAGATCATTTGTAACTAATTTTTATAAAGACACTAACTTTAACTAAATAAAAAAATATAAAATTTTCAAAAAAAAAAAGAAAAATAAATAAATAAATACTCTAAGTCTAATTATATTGGATATAACTTATATAAGTCATTACATTAGTTATATATAAGTTTTATTTGTATAATAAATATTCTATTAGACTAATGGTTGAATCTATTTTATTTATATGAATATGTTTTAAATTTAAAATTAATTTGATATACGTAACTTTATAAAGAAAATAAACTGTATTTTTATATTATTTATTTAACAATTTTAAATTAATACTATTTAAAAATAATTAAATATATCTAATTAATTTTAAATTTAGCATGAATATTATAAGTGATACATGCATAAAATTAATAATTAATATAAAAATTAATATAAATTATACCATATACACTAGTAAATAACTCATAAAAAAGTTTAAAATTTTGCTCCCATAACACAAATTCCTCTCTCCATCCCCGAACAATACTTATTAAAAAATTATATGTTATTTTTGAATTTGAATCAAATTTTAATTGGTAAACTGGTAAATATTAATGGATGTATTAAATTAAAGAGTATATTAATTATTTTCTTTGATTTTGTCTTCTCTGCTCTTTCACTTTCTTTTCTCTTTTCTTTTTTTTTTCCTATTCCAAGTTCCTACATCCTAAATTCTAGTTAAATAGACAAGACTCATTTATCTTCATTAGCACACCACATAAACGTGCATAAAGAAGTGATAGCATAGGTCTGAAGCAAGATACCAAGCAAAGAAAAGCCATAATTGAGTGTGAAGTAACCCATGGATACAATTTCTGAATCTGATGCATATTTAAAAGCAACCCGAAATCGACAACGACGACAAGCAATGCTGGAATAAAGATTAAAGAGTTTGCGTGTAGGATCAATGTTACTGGAAAATGAAACAAAGTTGTTTTCAGTCTGCAAATAAATTATTAACAGCATTAGCTTTTCTCCTTTTTTTTTCCCAAAAAAAGATGATAGCTTGAACTTCACTAATACAATACTACTTTTCTTTAGCATGTGTTTCATTATACTTTGCTTCTCGACTTACCTTTGTACTTCTTGGGATGCACTCCTAGCTAATGTGCTCCCCTTTTATCATTTATATATTTGCAATTTTTTCTGAGTTAAAAAAAAAAAAAAATTGCTTCTCGACTTTTACAGTTTTACTTGTAGTCTTTAGTATTTTAGTAGCATTTTAAGGAAATGTGGCAACCAAAATATATTTGTACTTTTCGGAAAAAAGAACACTTGAGTATGTTTTTTTTAAGAATATTTTTTTTTTTCTGAAAAGATTAAGAAACAATACGATTAATCATCAATGTCACTAGCAAAATAGGATAAAGTTGTTTTCAGAGTTGTCCACTACAGCTTTAACTCTCCTATTTTTTTTTTTCTTGGAAATTGAAAATTTGAACTAATGCAGTACTAATATAAGACTCTTTTTTTTAGGATTCCATTTTCGTCTACAACTTTAACTTTTCTTTTAAAGATTTTGGATTACAACCATGTTGGAATAAGGATTTGGTTGTAGCATTGCTTTGTAGGTTTCTTGTTGCTTTTAAATATGCATCAGATTCATAAGTATTAGTATATGGGCTACATATCAGAGTACTTATGCTATGGCTTTTCTTTGTTTGGTGTCTTGCTTCAGGCTTTTGCTACGGCTTCTTTTATGCATTTTTATTGGGTGTGCTTATGAAGATAATGAGTCTTGTCTATTTCACTAGAATAGGAAAAAATAGTAGAAGAGAACGACGAAAATTGAAAAGAAGTAAAAGAACAGAGATGCATAAAATTAAAAGAAAGAAAAGCGAGAAAGAAATAGGCATCAATCAAAGGGAGTCCTAAACTCCTAATAGTTAGGACATGGATGAGGAATAGGATAACCTGAATTTGTTTTTTAAGAAAGAAAATGAAAACTTTTCTTCTATTCTTGAAAGTTACAACCTGAACTTCACTAATAGATTACTACTTTTATCAATAATCTATTGGTTAGAGTAGAAAGAACTCTACTTTTTTTAAATAAAATTTTGAATTTGAGTTTTATAAATAGAAAAATAGATGTTGAGAGAATTTCTTTCTTATTAGATTTGACTTAATTCAACTTTAAATTAGTCAATACCTAATATAACTTTTAAATATCAGGGATCTAGTACCAATATATATATATATATATATGCTACTATTTTTCTTTAGCATGTCTTTCCCAACATCTCATTTTCCATTATCTATATGGTAAATTCCTTTTGTGGTCCATAATTAACAAACCTGAATTTGTTTTTTAAGAAAGAAAATGAAAATATTAAGAAACAAAAGGGATCAATGTTACTGGCTCAATATATAGGACAAAGCTATATTTAGACAAGAAGTTACCGACAACTTTAACTTTTCCTTTATTCTCAAAAGTTACAGCTTAAACTTCACTAATATGCTACTACTTTCCCTTAGCATATGTTTCTCAATCATTTCGTTTTCTGTTACCTTTATAGCGAACTCCTTTTGTGGTCAACAATTTTTTATTCAAATTATAAGTTGCTTCTTAACCTTGTAGTCCCAATCGTTTAGTAGTCGACAGAAAACAGTCCGTTATTTGAGGAGTTGCCCCCAAATATATATATATATATGTACTTTTTAAAAAAAATTAAAAACTAATTTTTCTTAAAAGGAAAACAAAAAAAAAAAAAAGAAAAAAAAAAGGAAGAAAAGATTAAGAAATGGAAGGGACCTATGTTACCGACAAAGTAGGACAAACTTGCTTTCAGGCAGCAATTAACTAAGATATTTGCAACTTTTTTCCTTTTCCCCTCTAAAAGTGATGGTAGCTTCGCTAATATACTACTACTTTTCTTTAGCATGTGTTTGCCTAGCATTTTGGTTGTACGAAAATAATTTGTCTTGAGGAGTTGCCACCCAAATATTTGTACTTTTCGAAAAAAAGACCAAGAATTTAATTTTTTAGAAAAGATTAAGAAACTATAGGGATCAATCATCAATGTTACTACTTACTACTATTTTCATTTATTTTTAATAAGTTTAATTTGATTTTTTGACTTTTCAATATGAATTTTAAATAAAAATTTAACAATTTATATAAACAATAATTAAAAAAACTTTTTCTTCCTATATGAAATTCTTGTGGAGTACTTTTATTTGATGAAAAAAATTTCAATTATCATTTGTATAAATTGTTAAATTTTCATTTGAAATTCATGTATGCAAAGTCCAAAAGTTAAATTAGATTTACTAAAAATT